ACACACTTTACACTTTACTTCATCTAGATCCCTATACAAGCCGAACTGCCAGAGATACTTGTAGCCAAGTCTTATACGAGCTGTGACAACATCTGTTAGTCTACTGACTTTGACTTTGACTGACTCACCCCACCGGCGAGTGCCTCACGCAACCAGTGAGGGCCTCACCTAACCAGTCAGTTCCACACCCCATCGGGGAGTGCCTCACCCCACTGACGAGGGCCTCACCCCGCTGGCGAGTGCCACACCCCACCAGTGAGGGCCTCACCCCACCAGTGAGTGCCACACCCCACCAGTGAGGGCCTCACCCCATCGGCGAGTGCCTCACCCCACTGACGAGGGTCTCACCCCACCGGCGAGTGCCACACCCCACCTGTGAGTGCCACACCCCACCGGCGAGTACCTCACCCCACCGACGAGGGCCTCACCCCACCGACGAGTGCCTCACCCAACCGACGAGGGCCTCACCCCACCAACGAGTGCCTCACCTCACCGGCGAGTGCCTCACCCCACCGGCGAGTGCCTCCCTTAACCGGGCCATTCAATCGGCAGGTTAGTTCCGAGAAAGACAAGGACCTAGATTCACGAAGCTCCATGTATTTTTTCGTAAGTAGGTTTGCTACGAAGGTTCCTAAGTATGCTCTAAGAGATGCTTAGGTGCAATTCACGTAGGTCTACTTAGGATGATATTTGGGTTTTGGGTCTGGTTCACCTGCGTGCCGATAGAGATCACTACTGTGTTTCGTTTGGCCAATCACAGAGAAGGCAACATTCTTCATATTGAAGATTTAGCGCAGGCTTATCGGAGCACTACTGCCTCGTGTTTACGTCGAATTTTCTGATAAAATTAGTACATTTCGAAGTAAAACTATGTTTTTTCAACATCTACAGGCAGCACAGACATTGTAGCAAACAAATATGTTACATTTGTTGTTTACCTACGTAATTCTATGAGATACTGTGTAGCTGTCCTTGTTGCTCAGAAGATGCGCTGACAATTATTGTATATATTTACTGTATTTACCCAAGGGCCACTAGCTATCTAGTGGCCTCGACGAGGACAGAAAGCCGGAGGTTTGTTAAAGGGCCCGCCAATTGTCTTAATGATATTTTTTAGCTGGAATTTGGCATCTACGGCTTCAGCGGGTAGGCGGTTTTATGGGTTTATAACACTCTTGGTGGAAAAAAATCTGTTCTCAGTCCTACTTGAGAGAACATACTCTTCAACACTATATCTGTGATTGCCCTGTTATCAGTGACTTCATACCAAATGGTATGAGGTACTTTGAGCTCTGCAATTACTTCATACACTCAGGAATATTGGAAGATATTTTTATGCTGCACCCAGATTTTGCTAGTGGAGGCTAATAGATCAGCCTTAAGTGTTTTGTTCTCTCCTGATTCCATGTATGACTGGCCATCCTGTGAGGTGAGGATGTTGGATGAGCTTGTAGCTGGTTTTTGATCTACACTGTGTGGTCCTTCATGCAGAATAGGGAAGCAGCACATTGGTATGTATACCTAAACATGTTAAAAAATACATTGTTTGAGAGGAGTCTTGTAGAAACTGGTAAGAGTAATTATAATATAATGTTTCCATGATTCAGTGTTTACCTCTTGTGAAAATCGTGAACAGTTGTTTAGTCAGAGTTGATTTGTTTTTTGTATTGAGGTAGGTATTTTTTACCTTGATTCCATGTATGTCTAACCATCCTGTGAGATGGGAGTATTAGATAAACTTATAGCTAGTTTTTTATCTACACTGTAATATTCCATATATAATAGGGTAGCAGCACATTGCTGCGTATACCTAAGCTTCCTAATAAATAAATCTGTAATAAAGATTTTAAATTATAGTTTATATGATTACAAATACTGTATTATCCTTATTAAATCATCTTAACCATGGATCATTAAAATCTCATGTTGATATGTAATAGTCATATTTCTTTTGAACTGCTAATCCATGCAAATCATTTTTTAATCATTCATTAAATTGTGCATTATGTCTCAATTTTTCACTTCCCTGGATATACTGTACATTACAAAATGATCGGAAAAAAATAAACCAGTATTATTTTTTTCATTATATTTTTTCATTTAAATAACTGCATCAATATTTTTGCAGCTGACAGGATTTGTTTTTCCATACAGGTGCATTTTTTATTTAAAAAAAAGTTTGTTTATTGTTACACACAATGGTGCTACATAGCCTTCCCAGCTTGGTGCCTTCCTTTAATACTTACTTACTGATTAATAAATAAATAATAATAAAAACGTTTTATTCAGGAAAAGTACATACAGTTGATTCACAAACATAATGTTGGATTTATAGACAGCTAGTACTTACAATACCTGAAACCACTAATACTCATAGCATTTCGGGCAAGGTGTGGGGGAAAAAACACTTAGACTAGAACTTAATAGTAATCGGGATTAGGTATAAATAGTGTTGAAAGAAGGTATAAAAAATAAAAAGGGGGGGGGGGTTAACATAACAGAAATCAGCAATTGTACACGTTGGTGAACAAACAGCATTGTTTAAAAAATAGCAAGACATGGGTTGACATTTAGGGGGTAAGGTTGATTACATGGAGTAAATTAGGTAGTACTTGGTTTTACTCTTAAACTGGCTGAGAAAGGTACAGCCTTTGACATGATTCGGGAGGTCATTCCACATTCTGGGTTCCTTGATTTGTAGAGCACTTCTACAGCATATTTTTATTTTATGCTTCACCTAGATTTAATTTCAAAATAAAACCATACTAAATAAATTAGAAATGGTATGTATAGCTAAGGTACACCCTTACTACTAGGTGAACAGGAGCCTTAGGTGATAGTAAATGATCCCATTAAGCAGGGCTCATCACCTTCTCTCATATTTCATGTTCACCAGTGTTTATTTACTTAATAACTACTGGTATAATATCTTGCTGTTATAAAACTAATTCAAATATAATAAAAGACATATTTACTTCAAGTTTCAATGAGAGAATGCATATATAACTAACACGAAGGACTCCTCTTCACGAGACTCACCAGCTATAATCTTTTGTTTACGTTCCAAAATCTTAAAATCGATCCCAGTGCTATGTAGTAGAGAGAAATTGAGTTATATCCAGTTTACGTAAAGCTACGAGTGGTCGACAGTACACTTAGATGACGGACCAAACTTACGAAGGTTTTTCTTCTTAGTGTAGCTACCTGAATACCGACGTAGCCGCCACGAAGGCGCTAAGAAGAAACACAATCGTAGCTAAGAAGAAAAACATTCGTAAGTACCTTCGTGAATCTGGCCCCAGACTACCCAAACACGGTCTTCCCTAAAAATGGCTTATTGAACACATGCATTTACTGAAGACAAAGTACACAGTTTTTCTGTCGAATATCATAAAAGCCTTAAGATCTGGTGAACAAGTCCATGCTCACTTACTAGATCAACTTGTTGACCTGCAAATACCCTTTGCAAGCCTTCTTCCAGCTCAAATTGAACGCTGGACTTGTTTGCTTATCTACAAGGCCTGTGTTGTAGCTGTAAACACAAATGTAATGTTTGACATCAACTTAGAACTATTCAAAATTAAGTCATGTTTATTACATTATATATTATTTAACGAATTGTAGTTTACAGTCTCCGTGGTGTAGTGGTAAGACACTCGCCTGGCGTTCCGCGAGCGCTATGTCATGGGTTCGTATCCTGACTGGGGAGGATTTACTGGGCGCAATTCCTTAACTGTAGCCTCTGTTTAACGCAACAGTAAATGGTGTACTTGGATGAAAAAACGATTCTTCGCGGCAGGAGATCGTATTCCAGGGACCTGCCCGAAACGCTACGCGTACTAGTGGCTGTACAAGAATGTAACAACTGTTGTATATATCTCAAAACAAAAAAAAGTATATATATAGTTAATAAATTTGGTTGAGAGGGAAATTTCCTGTGGCTTATTGGAAACTATTCTTAGTAATATATATTTTCTGTACTTGCAAGAATGTTCCTGAGCCACCCTCTCCAGTGGCATCGATAGGAATACGAAACAGACGGTTTGCAACCAATGCTTAATTACTCCTTATCCTGACCCTTCCCATGATATAAAGTCATATTGGTTTGGCGCCAATCCAAGTACTGGCTTAGCAGGTGTGAGTGAAAAATCCTACAATGCATCATATGGAGTTTGAGGCTGAATTATGTAAATGAAATCATAAAAATTATAACCTCAAAACTAAGTTTTAAGAAAATTTGACCTCTGTTGAAACTCAGTTAATGGTTATCTTGCTAACCATTAGATATGAAGATTCTGACATGCGACATATCTGGTGCGCGAATCTTTCTTGTACTTGACCTGTGAAAAATGTTGCAGCCAAATTCACTAGAAAATTTGCATTTTAATGTAGAAGTAATCACCAATTATCAAAGCTGGTCCATTGTCAAACCTAAAATTAATTTATAAAATCTAAGACAAAAGTTGACAATGACAATCAAACTTTATGCAACCGCCAAGACGTCAAATATCCAAGAAGTGTATCACACAGTAAGAAAGTGGCTAGATAAGTTCAGGAATGGTAAACTCCCCATTGAGCTCCAGTAGAGCTTCTTACCTCAACAACATGCATCAAATGAGAGACATCCACAATTTTACGAACAGTTCAGTTTCGATGCTTGTATTATCCTCAATATTAACAATTATTGAGTTTATATTGGTTACATTCCAATCATGATGCGAATAGATTGCTAATGCCATGTCATGGTAATGGATAAATTTATAGAAAAAATACTTAGCCTTATTAAAATTATATGATATTCAAAAAGATATGTTCCCTACTTCAGATATGCATAACAAAGTTAAATCTTCCTATGCTATAACGAAATGACGTATTATAAACCTATTAATAATAGTAATGACATTGGCAATGAAAATACATATTGATGATGAAAAGGAAACGAACTTATTTCAGTTCAAATTACGACACGTAATTTGTTTATGGTTCTCTTTCTCTCCAAGACTACAGAGCATCGGCTATCGTGGGGTGGAGGCGGCTGGTGTTGCTCTCATGGATGACTCTGGCTCTAGTTGTAAGCAGGAGCTACCAGGGCGACCTGATGTCAGGCCTGGCCGTGAGGTATATCCACCAGCCCTTCCAGACCATACGAGACGTCCTTGATCATCCCTCCATAACCATGCTGTGGCAGACGAACTCCACCAACGTCCAGTACATTCATGTAGGTCCGGTGATGTTGTGTTTGGTAGGGTATTTTGTAGGTGTCTATTGTGATTGTAGACATTGTGTTTGCGTGTCTAGCCATAGTTAAACGTGGTGTGGGTGATTTTGTCGACAGTATGGCATACTGTTCGTGTTCTGGCTATTGTGGCTTATAATGCAGGTATATCTGACGAGTGTGGGGAAATAACGATTTTTTTCTACCACAGACATTGGCACACAAAATTACAATGCTAACCAGCTTATATATTGAACAACTAACCACAGAAAGTGATTGTAGTGCATTTAAAATGCTAATATACCCTCAATACATAAATACAGATTTACGTCTTTTCTACATAAACAGTATTCGAGGTATCTTACCTATTTAGTCTTTAATGTGCATATATATATATATATATATATATATATATATATATATATATATATATATATATATATATATATATATATATATATATATATATATATATATATATATATATATATATATATATATATATATATATATATATATATATATATATATATATATATATATATATATATATATATATATAGGGGTGAGGGTACCACCTCTGGTGCCAATGTGGGGACCCATAGCCTCGGAGAAGAAAATAAAAAGTATTCAGAGGAGACCTTGTGGTTTCTCACTGAACACTAATATTATTCTCTCCTACCACCCCCATTCTTTTGTGTGTACACATGTATATTTACTTTATTTGAACTTTGTTACAAAAAAGGAGTTACATATGGGTTACAAAGATGGTTGTCATAGGTTGTCGAGTTCCTCCAGCTCCTCAGATGGCGGGCAGGAACCCTGGATGCAGTGCGCATTCCCCCTCTGTATCGCCACACTGAGGCGCTGGAAAAGAAAGCTTGCAGCTCTCGGGTCCCTTGTTGTTTCAATGAGCCTAGAACCCAGTTCCTTCAAAAAACTGGTAGCACTTTTACCCCAGGCGCCGAGCGTCTCAGAAGCAATGGGGACAAAATTGTAGTGGTGATCCAGTTCTCTATACTTACGGGATTTGGCTGCTTCCCTGTGGGTGGCAGCGCCACCTGGTTGTGCAACACTGAGGTTAATGTAGGTGTTAGCCAGGGTTGATACGCACGTGTAGTCCCATACCAACTGCTTGCCATTCTTCCAGGGGTTCACTGTGATACCATCCGGGCGACCAATAAGAGCATCAGAGTTACGGGGCGTTAGGTAACGGGGCTCTCTTTCAGCTGGGCATCCAGCTGTGGTGAGGCTCCTCTTGATGATGTCGTTAACTTCACTGTGCCTCGAGTGCCATCCCCCTGTGCTTTGGCAGAGTAGGCCATGGTGACCGTACCTGTCAGCCACCACCTCGCCGCAAATACACCTATATCTGGTGTGGATTGGGGCAGCAAGGCGGAGGGCCACAGCAATTCGGAGGGCGTGTGGTGTGAGACGCGTGCCAGTTGCCGACATTGGGGTTGCTAACAGGAAATCCCCTGCATGTGGTGCTGCTACTGCTGTGAGGCGAGCAATGTCGTGTTGTGTTGTTGCAGCACCCAGGCACTCTGCAGCAACTTGGTCTACAATGGGACCATCCCAGCTGGATTGCTTGTGGGATTTTGGGGATGGTGGTTGAGGTGATTGGCCTGCACGAGAGGCCCACTCTGTGGCACAGCGTGTAAAATTGGGATCATGTACACCTGCCAGCTGATGTAAGTGGGCAGGTAGAATTTCCTTCACAAGGTCGTCGGATGCTGATAAGGAGGACAGGAAGGCTGGAACAGCGATTTGCGTTGCTGTTCGAACTCCGAGGCCCCCAAGTCTTACGGGAAGAGAGGCTTGTTTCCACTGTAGGTCATCGAGAGAGAGGTTAAGGGCTTTTTCTAGCATTGATTTCAGTAACCGGTCATACTCACTTAGTTTTTGGCTACTGTAAGATGGTGAACACCTCAGAAAGTAGGTTAACCTGGGGAGGGACAGACATCTGGTGATGAGGTAGAGTGCATCATGAGCATCAATATCCTCAATCCTCCCATCCATCCTCTTAAGGTCGGCGATTTTCTTATCAAGGACCTCATCGATGGCTTTCAACCCCAGGGGAGCTCCTAGGAGTGTGCTGTCTTCAGGTTTAGTTTTATGGATATTTGGCAGAAGACCCTCTATTCTCTCTACGATGCCCTGGTTGGAACATATTATTTCACATTTAGAAGGGTTCAGGGTGAGGCCTAAAACTGCACCTTGCTCCTGGATTTTTCTGATGTCCTCCAGGAGGGAGTCTTGGGAACCAGCTAGGGTACCATCATCCAAGAACCAGATGTTAAGCTCGCTGGACAGGACCTCTGTGACTTGTTTGATGACTAAGCAGAAAAGGAGAGGAGCAAGGGGGTCACCCTGTTGGACGCCTTCTCGCGAGTCAATTTCATGTTCGCCAAAAAGTAGCTTAAGATTCATACTGTAGCATGAATGTACAAAAGGGTAGAGGGAAGGGAAATGACTATGAACCGCACGGAGTACAGCATCCCTCCGCAACAAATTGAAGGCATTTTTGAAATCTAGCTTGATAAGGGCCTTTTCGTCTGTGATGTTGGCGATGAAGGCTCGAGATGCATGGGCTGCCGCCTCACACCCTTGTGGAATGCCAAACCCGAGCTGTTTTGGCTTCAGCTTGTTGGCCGCTGCATCACTAACTGTTCTTGCAGCTGCCTTTGCGACGAGACGCCGGAGAGAATTGCCCACAGCTATTGGCCTGTTATATATATATATATATATATATATATATATATATATATATATATATATATATATATATATATATATATATATATATATATATATATATATATATATGACCCATTGCCGTTGGTAATACCCTTCGCCGCCTAGTTGCAAGGGCTGCTGTCAGAAGTATCCGAATGGAAGCAGCCACCATGCTGCAACCCAACCAGCTGGGGTTTGGAGTCCCCCAAGGCTGTGAAGCAGCGGCTCATGCTGCACGAGCCTACATTAGCTCTCTTACTGAAGACCAGGCAGTAGTAAAATTAGATTTTAAAAACGCTTTCAACTCGGTCAAAAGGGAAGCAATCCTCACTGCAGTCCAGGAACATTGCCCAAGCATTCTCCCGTTTGTGTCAGCAGGCTACAGCAAAGACTCAACCCTACTGTTTGGCAAACATGAAGTCACCTCTGCAGAGGGAATTCAACAGGGTGACCCACTTGCACCGTTCCTCTTTTGCATAGCGGTTCGAGAAATTACAACCAGACTGTCCAGCGAGCTCAACATCTGGTTCCTGGATGATGGCACTCTGGCAGGCACACAAGATTCCCTGCTAGAAGACCTACAGCTGGGGAAGACACGGGGGGAGTCCATGGGTCTCGTTCTTAACCCCTCCAAGTGCGAAATTATTGCATCCAGTGAAGTAATTATTAGAGCAGTGAAATCAGTTCTACCAGAAGCCTCAGTCGTTAAACCTACCGACAGCACACTACTCGGAGCACCTCTGGGCCACAATGCTATTGCTGCGATCCTTGACGAAAAGTTTAGAGACCTAAAGAGGATGGAAGAGAGAATTGGGAACTTGGACTCCCACGATGCCCTCTACCTTCTCACAAAGTGCCATACCTTGCCCAGGCTAACATACTTCTTAAGGTGTGCACCAACTTTTGGCAACCCACTTCTAAATCAATATGATGAGCTCCTCAGGTCAATATTCAGGAAGGCGCTCAACCTAGATTTAGATGACAGTCAGTGGGACCAAGCAACACTACCAGTGAGATTTGGAGGGATAGGCATACGAAAGGCAACTGAGGTAGCACTTCCAGCATTCTTATCCTCATGTACAGCAGCCAACGAATTGGTAGGGCAGATCCTACCAGAGCGTATGAGAGAGACAGCGGGAACTCATGATCAAACGTTCATCGAAGCAGCCAGACAATGGGACACCATTGCACACCCTCAACCCCGACCACAAGTCCCAAAAGACCACAAGCAGGCCCACTGGGATAGCCCCATAATGGAAAAGACTGTCACAGCAATGATTGACAACGCTGATGCTGAAAACAAAGCCCGCCTCCTAGCGGTAACAGCACCCCATGCCGGGGATTTCTTATTTGCGGTGCCCAATGCAGCCCTGGGAACTCGCCTCAGTCATGACGCTCTCCGCATTGGAGTTGCCCTTCGCCTTGCCGCCCCCATCCTCACCGAACATAGGTGCATCTGCGGAACTGCGATGGCAGACCAATATGGTCGTCATGGTCTGGTATGTCGTAAATCACAGGTTAAAATTGCAAGACATGAAGAAGTCAACGACATCATCAAGAGGAGCCTCGCCACAGCCCGCTGCCCGGCACAAAGAGAACCACACTTATCCAGACCTAACGACCCTCAGAAGCGCCCTGATGGGGTCACCTTGCTACCTTGGAAGGATGGTAAGCAAGTGGTATGGGACTACACGTGCGCTGCCACACTGGCCAGTACCTACCTCCACTACAGCACACGTGAAAGCGGTGGTGCTGCTTCTTTCAGGGAATCGCAGAAAATTATTAAATACAGAGGTCTAGCACACTGCTACAGCTTTGTTCCGATCGGCTCGGAGACCCTTGGTTCGTGGGGAAAATGTGCATTGAAGTTCCTGAAGGAATTGGGGGACAAATTGATCAGCGCTACAAAAGACCAGAGAGCAAAAAGTTTCTTGTTCCAGCGCCTCAGTGTTGCGATTCAGAGGGGAAATGCCTGTTGCGTCTTGGGCACTAGTCCAACTTCAGAGGAATTCGAAGAAGTGTTTGACTTGCAACAATGATCGAACCCGTCTGTGACATTCATCAATGTTTCCCATTGTTGTGTTTTTCAAGAGAACCATAACCTTTAAGCACCTTTTTGCATTATTATTTTTGTATCAACCCATGTATATCTTGTAACCATCAAATGCATAATAAAGCACAAAAAATAAAAAAGGAAGGGGGTGGTAGGAGAAAAGCACACAGAAACTGTATTGGAGGGGATCTAAACATTCCCTCTAATGCGTTATGCGTGGTTTCCTCCGAGGCTATGGGTCCCCCTTCTTCCAGCTAGAGGTGGTACTCTATATATATATATATATATATATATATATATATATATATATATATATATATATATATATATATATATATATATATATATATATATATATATATATATTAGTATATTTTGGTAGCAGTCTTTCCTGTAGACATATATTATTAAATATGACCGAAAAAGTAAGATTTATAATGCTAACACGAATTTTCTCGATCTTTCGTACATTTCTTTTCACTGTTGGTGGTAATTCAAAAATCAATTCTCCAAAATTCATTTTTATTTCTAGTCTGACGCAACACTTGAGCGCGTTTCGTAAAACTTATTACATTTTCAAAGACTTTAGTTTACACATACACAACTGAATAGAACTTACACATCTCTGATTTGTTTATATCTACATTTGAGTGAGGTGGTATTAATAGGGTATTAATTTCATCAACACAAGACAGAACACGAAACAATGGGTATTGAATGGAAGTGATTGTAGAAAGCCTATTGGTCCATATTTCTTGATGCTTCTATATTGGAGCGGAGTCTTGAGGAGGGTTGAATATAGTTGTGCATTAATTGGCTGTTGATTGCTGGTGTTGACTTTTTAATGTGTAGTGCCTCGCAAACGTCAAGCCGTCTGCTATCGCTGTATCTATCGATGATTTCTGTGTTGTTTACTAGGATTTCTCTGGAACCAAACCATCGCCAGAGAAATCCTAGTAAACAACACAGAAATCATCGATAGATACAGCGATAGCAAGCGGCTTGACGTTTGTGAGGCACTACACATTAAAAAGTCAACACCAGCAATTAACAGCCAATTAATGCACAACTATATTCTACCCACCTCAAGACTCCTCTCCTATATAGAAGCATCAAGAAATGTGGACCAATAGGCTTTCTACAATCACTTCCATTCAATACCCATTGTTTCGTGTTCTGTCTTGTGTTGATGAAATTAATACCCTATTAATTCCACCTCATCCCATCCACCTCACTCAAATGTAGATATAAACAAATTCGAGATGTGTAAGTTCTATTCAGTTGTGTATGTGTAAACTAAAGTCTTTGAAAATGTAATAAGTTTTACGAAACGCGCTCAAGTGTCGCGTCAGACTAGAAATAAAAATGAATTTCGGAGAATTGATTTTTGAATTACCACCAACAGTGAAAAGAAATGTACGAAAGATCGAGAAAATTCGTGTTAGAATTATTAATCTTACTTTTTCGTTCATGTTTAATAATATATATATATATATATATATATATATATATATATATATATATATATATATATATATATATATATATATATATATATATATATATATATATATATATATATATATATATATATATATATATATATATATATATTATTAAATATGACCGAAAAAGTAAGATTAATAATTCTAACACGAATTTTCTCAATCTTTCGTACATTACGCTTCATTGTTGGAGGTAAATCAAAATCACTTCTCCAAAATTCATTTTTTATTTCTAGTCTGACGCGACACGGGCGCGTTTCGTAAAACTTATTACATTTTCAAAGACTTCACAAATACACAACTGATTAGAACTTGCGTTTCCCTGATTTTATATCTACATTTGAGTGAGGTGGGAAGGGTGATGTGGCATTAACACAAGACAGAACAATAGGGGATATTAATAGGGTATTAAAAGTATCAACACAAGACAGAACAGAAACAAGACTCCGCTGCAATATAGAAGCATCAAGAAATATGGACCAATAGGCTTTCTACAAACACTTCTATTCAATACCCATTGTTTCTGTTCTGTCTTGTGTTGATACTTTTAATACCCTATTAATATCCCCTATTGTTCTGTCTTGTGTTAATGCCACATCACCCTCCCCACCTCACTCAAATGTAGATATAAAATCAGAGAAACGCAAGTTCTAATCAGTTGTGTATTTGTGAAGTCTTTGAAAATGTAATAAGTTTTACGAAACGCGCCCGTGTCGCGTCAGACTAGAAATAAAAAATGAATTTTGGAGAAGTGATTTTTTATTTACCTCCAACAATGAAGCGTAATGTACGAAAGATTGAGAAAATTCGTGTTAGAATTATTAATCTTACTTTTTCGGTCATATTTAATAATATATGTCTACAGGAAAGACTGCTACCAAAATATACTAATATATATATATATATATATATATATATATATATATATATATATATATATATATATATATATATATATGCACAGACTTGCTTATAACCACAAGTTGCAGTATATAACTTTTTAGACACTCAACCCACCAGGGGACTCGAACACTGGCCATCAATGTGGCAGTTAAACACTGTATCCACTACACCATACTTCAGAGCCCAAAGAGGTAGGAATTCTGGGGTATTTAACCAATCAGAACTCCAATCCTCTCAGGCAATGAGATAGTGAGGGACCTCTCGTGTTCTTTCATCGAGCCCTGTTATGTGGGAGAACTCAGTGTCAAATGCTTATTGCACAAACTTCTTTAAACTCCAAGTTGAAGTATATAAATTTTTAGACACTCAACCCACCAGGGGACTCGAACACTGGCCATCAAGGTGGCAATTACACACTGTATCCACTACACCATACTTAAAAAAAATATATATATTAATTTCTCCAACATTATAATACACAACTCATGGGAACACAATGCCGGCACATCCAAAAATCTTTCTATATTATGTTTTCTTTTCAGTCTTTGGAGTCTGGCATCTTCCGCGAGGTAGCAGAGGCTGAGGCCAAGGGCCGCCTCAAGTACAAGCTGCTGTCTGAGTTTCCTCAGGCACTAAGCACTTTAGTGAGGCGTGGAGACCACGTCCTCGTGGATCTGGAGAACGTCATAACCTTGATCATCGGGCAGTACTTCACTCGCACAGGTGACCTGCTGAAGGGTAACACATTAACTCGGGCTAGACCGAGGGCAGCACTTTCATGGGGGATCTCCGAATGGTTATCATTTAAACAGGGGATGTGACGAAGAGATATATCTTAAACATTAGCTCTACCTATGGGATGTACTTCTCGCAAGGGATCTCATGAAGGTTTAACTTAAAAATTAGCTCAGCTATACACGACATTCGCTATATACGATCCGACGAAAGTGTATTAATTATACTGGGGATATATGCTCATGTGTTTTGAGCGAAAGTTATCACTTATCCCATATATTGTTTATTTAAACATGGGATCATAGGATTGGGCATTGTTATGACTAAATAAATAATGAAAATAATTTTTTTGTTTAGGATATTTTTTGCTAAAGCTCTCTGTGAGACCATAAATACTTGAGCAACCATGTTTAAATGGTCAGATGTGAGGATGTGCGGGATGATCACTAGTACACCCACGCACCCCACCACACACACCCACGCACCCCACCACACACACCCACGCACCCCACCACACACACCCACGCACCCCACCACACACACCCATGAACCCCACCACACACACCCATGAACCCCACAACACACATCCGTACACCCCACCACACACACACCCATGCACCCAACTGCACACATTCACGCACCCCACCACACACACAGTTTATATCTCACCAAAACTGTCTCCTGAAGCCCACATAAAAAGAATAACGTCTGCGGCATATGCGAGGCTGGCTAACATCAGAACAGCGTTCAGGAACCTGTATAAGGAATCATTCAGAATCTTGTACACCACATATGTAAGACCAATCCTGGAGTATGCGGCCCCAGCATGGGGTCCGTACCATTTCAAGCACAAGACGAAGCTGGAAAAAGTCCAAAGGTATGCTACTAGACTAGTCCCAGACTTAAGAGGCATGAGTTATGAGGAAAGGCTGCGGGAAATGCACCTTACGACACTGGAAGACAGAAGAGTAAGGGGGGACATGATGACAACCTACAAAATCCTCAGGGGAATCGACCGGGTAAACAAGGAAAAACTATTCAACACTGGCGGGATGTGAACAAGGGGACACAGGTGGAAACTGAGTACCTAAACTAACGGATGGAATGCACTAGACAGTGATGTGATGGAGGCTGACTCCATACACAGTTTCAAATGTAGATATGATAGAGCCCAGTAGGCTCAGGAATCTGTACCCCAGTTTATTGACAGTTGAGAGGCGCGACCAAAGACCCAAAGCTCAACCCCCGCAAGCACAAATAGGTGAGTACACACCCATGCACCCCACTGCACACATCCACCACACACACACACACCCATGCACCCCACTACACACACCCACGCACCCCACCACACACACACCCACGCACCCCCACCACACACACACACACGAACCCCACCGAACACACATTCACGCACCCCACACACACACACTCACGCACCCCACCACACACAAACCCACGCACCCCACCACACACAAACCCACGCACCCCACCACACACACCCACGCACCCTACCACACACACCCACACACCCCACCACACACACCCACGCACCCCACCACACACACCCACGCACCCCACCACACACACCCACGCACCCCACCACACACACCCACGCACCCCACCACACACACACCCACGCACCCCACCACACACACCCACACACCCCACCACACACACCCACGCACCCCACCACACTCATCCACGCACCAAACCACACACACCCACGCACCCCACCACACACACCCACGCACCCCACCACACACACACACACACACACCCACGCACCCCACCACACACACCCACACACCCCACCACACACACACACACGCACCCCACCACACACACCCACGCACCCCACCACACACACCCACACACCCGACCACACACACACCCACGAACCCCACCGCAAACACCCACTCACCCCACCACACACACCCACGCACCCGACCACACACACACCCACGCACCCCCCACCACACACACCCACGCACCCCACGACACACACCCACGCACCCCACCACTCACACCCACGCACCCCACCACTCACACCCACGCACCCCACCACACACACCCACGCACCCCACCACACACACCCATGCACCCCACCACACACACCCATGCACCCCACCACACACACCCACGCACCCCACCACACACACCCACGCACCCCACCACACACACCCACGCACCCCACCACACACACCCACGCACCCCACCACACACACCCACGCACCCCACCACACACACCCACGCACCCCACCACACACACCCACGCACCCCACCACACACACCCACGCACCCCACCACACACACAATTAGGTGAGTACTCAGTTAGGTGAGAAAATTACCTAAAATTAAATTAAAATTAAAATTAAAATAAAATTAAAATTAGGAAAATTACTTGAAAGAAAGTAAACTTAAAGTTATTTGAAATTACTTGAAATTGAAAATTAGGTGAGTACTCATTTAGGTGAGTACACATCCACGCACCCCACACACAAACGCCTATGCACTCCACCGCATACACACCCATGCACCCCACCACACACACACACACACACATACACACACACGCACCTCCACTGCACACATCCACACACCCCCACCACACACACACACACACCCCATGTACCCCATATCACACATCCATGCACCCCACCACACACGTATACCCCTTGTACCCAATTGCTCACATCCACACACCCCCACCACACACACACACCCACGCACCCCACTGCACACACACACCCACGCACCCAACCACACACACACTCACGCACCCCAACACACTCATCCATGCACCCCCCCCCACAAACACGCACCCCAGCGCACTTACCCACGAACCCCACTGCACACATCCACGCACTGCACCACACACATCCACGCACCCCACCACACACATCCACCCACTCCACCACACACACACACACACGCACCCCACCACACACACATTTACACACACATTTATTTACAACCCTCCCCTAAATAACAGAAGACCCAGACAGGAGTTTGATAGGAAGAACATGACAACCAATTATATAATAAAGAGAGGAGGGGTAGGCGTCATGGCGACTGGTGGAGGTTCACGCAGCGTCTCTCCTACAAATATTGACGATACCTTTGAGGACACTGGGAAACCACTGCTGCATACCACACATTTAGATCATGAACGTCACCCGGTCTTAGAAGAGGATCTAGATGGAGATTTCCTGGACAGCAAACATCACAGCAAAGCAAACAGATTGGAGGCGAAACGCCGCCAACTTACAGAGGTAAACAGAGACCATGCCGGCACCACGCGGCCTCAGTATCAACTTCCACAGCTCAACCAAGGTAGGCCAAGTTCTTCTGATTTGCAAACTTTCATCATTGCCTTTGATGGCGAAGAGGAAAATGTGTTCAGAAATAGCCGGGCACAAAGTATCTTATATAATGCCATTCCCAAGATATTCGGGATCAACGTGCACAATATGAGACCAAATAAACAGAAAAACCTGATCGCAGTGGACCACAAACATGGCGAAGAACTAAAGCTTTCAGACATTACTGACATCTGTGGCCATAAAGTTAAGTGCTACAAACCACTAGGGGACCGATTAACAAAATATGTAATCCGACATGTGGTAGACATCAGTGTAGACGACATCGAAGCACAACTTGAGACACATGACATCCCGATCCATGGAATCAAAAAATTTATGCGAAGAACAAACGGAGAACTGAGTGATACAGGCACTGCTCTGCTTACCTTTCTAGACTACATCCCCCCTGAGAGGATTTGGTTAAACGGCTTCCTCCATAAACTAGAGGTGTATATACCACGTCCCACTCAGTGTTTTAAATGTAAAGGTTTTAACCATACCTGGAAAGGCTGCACCAAAGACATTAAATGTGGGAAATGCTCTGGTTCCCATTACAGCAAGATTGTACATCAGATACACTTACCTGCTCAAACTGTGGTGGCGATCACGACATTACATTCAAACAATGTCCTTTATACATAGCAGTAGCCGCATAAACTAAGATTCTCCCTACCAACAACCTGCTATACAGTAGTGCACTGAAACAACCTAACACAGCCCATCATCAAACACTACCTCATACTCAAACACAGCCTTTGTGTGTACCTGATATAACAGTCACCGACACTCTCACAACCCCAGGGTCCAACCATCTCTCACAAAATGCACAACTGAATCCTGATCTTGTTGAAACTCTTGTCACTCGCATTGAAAATGATCTTGTTGAAACTTTTGTCACACGCATCGAAAATGCACTAGGAAAGACGCTGGACCGACTTCTAACTAAATTCTTTACACAAGTAACACAACCCACCCCTAAGGCTGACCCAAAAGACATCCCATCAACAGCTACAGACACTGACTTCCGCCCAAACAAAGCCACCATTGCTGGACACACATTGTTTGAACAGATGATAGAAAAACTCATAAATAACTCCCTAGCACGTCTTACCAAAATCATTCCACAAGCTGACTTGCCACGAACCCAAACCGCCAGTACCAAGAGTAAGACACAGCCCACATCCACATCTAGGTATCCAACACGTACTACTACTGGCATGCCAAGGAAAACAGACAAATCCATAACCCATACATCCTAAATGGCTCCCCTAACCTTCATGACTGGGAACGCAAAAAGCATTAAAACATCCCTCACAGAACTTAAACAATTCCTTTACTCATCCAAACCGGACTTAGCTTTCATAACCGAATCCTGGCTCACTCCCAAACAAAATCCTATTTTTAAAAACTTTCAGATGCAGAGACTGGACAGACCAAACCGTATGGATGGTGGTATTTTCCTCCTAACACGGAGTGACATGACATGTAAACCTGTAACACTTACACATTTTGTAAATGGTAAACTAGAAATTTTAGCATGCCTAATACCCTACAAAGGTACACACATATCCTTTCTGGGTATATACAACCCTGGTGGCACAATAAATTTAAATGAACTGGAAT